GACCGGTGTCTATGTCAGCGATTTCTGGGCAAAATTGGCTCGATAAATTCAATTGGCAAAATGTAAAAATGTTTAGGACACAATTGGCAAAATCGAAAGGTTTACAACTAATTTGGTAAAAGTACAATAGATTTAGGAATTTTCGGACAATTCTCCCTGCAATTATGTGCATCTGGAAATTTCTCTAGCTAATTAGCTAATATATAATGGCAAGCCCCACGACTGTTGCCCATCCACTTTGTATTTCTGCGTTTCTCCCCTATGCATTTTTACATTTAGCTAATTCGAGTGATAATGCCATTCTCAAATTCTAAACAACATATCCCTTTCAAATTTATATTAAAATGTTTTTCATCAACTCGCATAATCGAAAGGAACTGAAGAAAAAAGTGTTTCATTTCTATTAGTCCATTTCATAAAAAAAGCTCCCCATCGACTTTTAAAAATTGTATTAATTACACGCTCACGCAAAAAAAAAAAAAGTTTTCTGCAACCAGAGTGCTTTTCATGAAAGAAAAGCTTTATTCTTTTTTTTTTTTTAGGGAACAGGAAAAACACTGACCTGGTTTGAGGAACGGCCTTGGTCAGACTTAAATTGGGCAGTCTTTATGTCGAATGAATCGAATTTCTTGATTTTCCTCAATCCCTTGTTTCCCTCCGCGCGACCATCATCAAGATCTTGATCCCAATGATCGTATCCGTCAGTCGATTCGACTTTGACGACCTTCGGCCTCTCTTCTTCTGCAATACCGTCGCCGCGCTCCATCGAAGAATCAGAGAGAGAGAGACAGAGAGAGAGAGAGAGAGGGACCACCTGCTTCAAAGGAGAAACACAGAGTCGCCCATCACAGAGAAAAGAACATAAAAGGAATCCACCAAGGGATATGACCGACGGTCAAACAAAACATTAATGGCATTGCAATTATAATACATCGTGTCAAGCGAAATCCAGAAAAGAAGAAACTAATTTACTGGCATGCCAGAAAGAAGGCAAGTGACAGAATCGGAAGTTACCAAGAAGGAGAGGTATTGTTTAGTTTGCACGTAGAGACCAGCCTATTTTCCATTCACATCTCTCGTGAAACCATGTCAATCTGTTTAATAGATACATCCCCTTTCGAGTTTCGGAAAGCATTTGATTTAACACGCCCTGATAATCTATCTCTTGAAAACTCGTGTTTTTTATTTTTGTAATAAGGTCTCTTTTTGAGTTTCGGAAAACAGTCTTAGCGTGTGAGATACTTTGTGAGAGTGCCGTCTTTCAACGAATCTTTCTGATTTGTAGGTTATAAATTACGTAACCCATCAGTCAAGAAACTTTCTTCAACCTCCTCCATATAACCCATTAATAGAATTTCGTTTGCTACTCATTTGCCATTGAAACTACGTAATTAGCCTTATGATATCGTTTTCCTCGCTAATCATACGTTATCTTGTCGTCATTACTTAAGGAATTTAGTACGAGAATGAAAATAGCGGCGCAGGCCTCTCGCGTAATTTTCTTGAAAAGTGTAATTACAATTTTTTACGTTTAGATGAATGAATTTTCACTTGTTAACAAGATTTTTTTTTCTGACAAAAAAACAAGACTCAATTTTTTAAAACAACTGTCTCTGGAAGCAAAGATACCATATATGTTGGTCATTAATTCACTGATGTTGCGTGTAATTGTTTTTCCTTTTGGAGTTATTGAGGTGTGAAAGAGGGCTCTTAATTTAGTAATGAAGTCCTCGCCTTGCTCGAAAATGGAGTAAAGTGATTGATCTCGGTGATTAATGTAAGTCTTATTTAAGGGAAAATGACCAAAAAAGTCCTAAAATAATTGCACTTGTGCTAATTTAATTTTAAACCTTTCAATTGTGCCAATTTAGTCATAAACATTTACACGTTTTGTCAATTGAGTCTATCTTGCCAATTTTGGCAGAAAATCCCTGACATGGACACTGGCCGTTTTACGTGGCAAGGCTGGAGCTGACGTTGATAAATTTTTATAATTTTCATAATTTTTTTCAAATATTTTATTAATTTATTGTTTCTTTTATTTTTCCTTCTCTTTTCCTTCCTTCTTTTCTATTTATTTTCCCACAATGGCCAACGAACTCGCCAATCGCTAGCAAGGGTCGCGGCCGTTGCACAGATCTAGGGGAGGCCATCATGAGCCGCGGTTGCAAGCGAGGCTGCCTCACTCAGATTTGGGCGAGCCAGCCTCGCCAGGGCATTGCCGGTCGCACGTGAACGTCACCATGCCTCGCTCACGGCCACGATGGCCTCCCCAGTGGCCAGGTGGGAAAAAAAGAAAGAAAAGAAGGAAGGAAAAGAGAAGAAGAGGAAAAAGAAAAGAAAATATAAAAATTAGTAAAAGATTCGAAAAATATTAAAAAATTTTAAAAAAACTGTCCACGTCAGAGCCAATCATGCCACGTAGGACAGCCAACGTCCACGTTAGCGATTCCAGTCAAAATTAGCTGAATGGACTCAATTGGCAAAACGTGAAAATTTTTAGAACTGAATTGGCACATGTGTCATAGGGTAATGCCTTTTTGGTAATTTTTCCCTTATTTAAGTGAAAACCCCGAAATAGGAAGTCAGAAAAGAGGTAGCAAGTAAAATGGTATTATATTGATCAATATTCCAAGTTAATTCCCAGGAGTTGAATGGGTTAGTCGAGTGATAAAATGATTAAGATTGTTTATCTAAAGTTGTTTAATATCGCTAGTTCAATTATTACTTGACATAACCTTTTGGATCATGGTACAAGGAAGTATTTTATTGTGAATCTCATAAATGATAGTTTGGACGCAAATGAAGAACAACTTTTCACTATATACGTAAATTATTTAGCTTTTTTTTCCGACGTGTATCGATGTAAATGAGCCGCCCACATAGAACACCATGTTATTGCTCCAGAAAGATCAATAAAACTCAGCTTAAATTCATAAATTCCGAAATCATGAAATATCCCACTAATTCAATTGAACAAACCATGCTCAAATGAAAACGAAGTGACCATGTGACACAATTGGAAAGGGTTGGTTTTGTATGCGAATTTTCCCCGTCTTTGCACAAATCGGGTTCTTATTGATATTGTTAGGGTGTGAATGAAAACCATTTTTTTCCCAGGCCCATTTCTGGCTAGAATTAGAAAAAAATTATTTATGTTTCCTAGATGAGTTTCTAAGCTGAAAGTAGCGTTTGATAATGACACAAAATTTTTGTTCCCGGAATGGAAATTCGTTTGATAGGTTATTCTTAAAATTTTGTGACTGTCGGCGAGCGGCGGCAAGGGGTGGCGAACGGCCAATGGGGGGGCGGCGGATGGCTATTGGGGGGCCGTGGCGGCGGCGAACGATAAGAATAGTTGTTATTTCTAGAAATGTAAAAAAAATCCACCTCACATATCTGTTCCTAATCTATTTCTGAGTTAAAAATTTATCCCGGAAATAAAAAAAATGAAGTTGCGTTACTAAACAGATTTCTGTTCCAAACATGTTTCCAGAAACAGAAAAATAAAAAACAAAGAAATATAATCGTTATCATTCTCGCCCAAAGTCTGCAAATGCCTTGATCAAAATTTCAAAAATATATCTCCATTGAGGCAGGAACAAAGAGAGAAATATTAATACAAAAAAAAATTTGATGACAAAAAAGTGGTGGCGAATCTTTTTCAATTGAAACACTTCAATTTAGCATGGAAAAGCAACTCGTGACCTCTTCTAAGTATGCATTAATCATCATCATCATGAAGTAAGTTGCGATTTGGTAAAAGCTGTTAATTAATCATCATCATCACCATTATGCACATGTATGTTTTTTTTTGTTACCCTCTTCTATTCCTGAGTTGATAGGCAATGTATATTCAATTACACTATTCTATTCCTGAGTTGATAGGTAACTAATTCATTTGACATATATTTGAAATATGCAACCTTGTCAAAACTTATTTAAAGCAATTCTGAAATTACTTTAAATATGCTAAGATTGAAAGAAAACTCTAAACTTAATGTATCCTTTATTTAAGTTTTTAGAGTCATATATGACCCAAATGTGATATTCCTATTTGTATTTTGGAAGGCAGAGATAACTTATAGTGCTATATGAACAAAGCTCTAAATGTGTTATTTTCAATTTATTTTGTATTTCTCCGTAATAGACTTAATATAATAGCGTGGGTATTGCTAAGATAATGAACAAATCATGAAAAATCTAGAAAGTTAAATAGAATAAGAGAAATGAAATAATGATTACTTAGATATTTCTATTCTTCGAAATTTTTAAAGATTTTGTTAGCACACGCAATATGTAAGGATGTTAATCTATAATGCACAACATTGTAAATAAAAAATGGTCAAGATAACTGTAAGGTAATCTCTTAAATTCGTCATGCATTACAAACTAAAAATGCAAATTTCTCTCATCATGTGAGGGCGGCGCGGCCCTCGCATATGGCCAGTTGGCACTTGATCAAATCGTCATGTTAATAAACTCCGGCCAAAATTGACCAGGTGAAGAATATTAGAAAATTATCAAAATATTTAGGACTAAATTGGTAAAATTGTTTCGACAAAAAAAATTGGCAAAATTGGAAAGTTTATGACTTAATTAGCAGTCATACAATAGGCGTATGACTTTGTACACAATTTCCCTTTTTTATCACGTGTTTCATTGATTAAACAAGAAATTTAATTTTAAACCTTGATTTTCGAGAATTTTATTTCTGAATTGTTACATTTTTGGGAACTCGAATAATAATTCATTTTTGTTGAGCTTACTGTTTTACTGAAATTAAAATTAAAAGTCTTATTACCTTAATTACTTTTGGCATCAGGGTTGATTAACTTTTTTGTGGTCCAAAATTTTGAACAAACATGGCCACGGCACCCTTTATAAATTACAAAAAGCAGTGAGCATTCACTTTTATGAAAAAGTGGTTCATTCTTTGTTTGTTTTGCCAAAAATGAATTATTTGAAAAATATTTTCTTAAAAATGATCGTTTACAAAAATAAAGACCGATCACTTTGAATATGATGCGAAATTCACTGACAAAATGAGGAGGATCAAGGTATTGAGATTGTTTCTCAACATTTTTCCATTTTTTCCTTAGCTTTCAATTCCTATGCAGTGAAATGACTGCAATCTGCCAATCACCAGATTCCACTCCCTCCTGTGGACGAAAAAAAGAGAGTAATTGAAGACGTTGATAAGGATCGGCGCTATGCCATAGATGCGTCAACTGTGCGCATCATGAAGAAAGTTTTAGGTCATCAGCAGCTGGTTATGGAGTGCGTCGAGCAGTTACGAAACATGTTTGAGGTCTGTGATGGTCTCTATCTTTTCCCTTAATTAATGTTTTTTGCCCATCTCCCTTGCAAATATGGGCTCATCTTTATTAACTGAGCACATTTCTATTGCAGCCTGATTTCAGGGCGATCAAAAAGCGGATAGAAGATTTGATCACTCGGGACTATTTGGAGTGGGACAAAGATAATCCTAATTTGTTCAGATATCTTGCATGAAAAACTGCTAGTCTACTGTCCAGCTACAGAAGTTGCTGCAGATATGGGAAACGGCAGAGGGGGGTTCCATCATTTTCTTTCCGAAGGGTTTTGAAGACCCACGAGTTCAGCTGTACCTCTTCCACTTGATTAATTGGGAGCGCATGAGCTGAAAATGCCTGTACATTTTGCCTTGAAGACCAAGTATCAGCAATTGAAGAATATGCACCAAGATATCATGTAATGATTGTCCGAAACTTAGAGCGGGACCATCCAGCATCTTCCGCTGGTATGGAAGCACCCAAATGACTATTGGTGTTTTCGGGTTGATTTGTCCTTAGTCCCAAATCTTTAAGAATGAGACTCTACTTGTTTTAACACAAATTATCATTCCAATTTCGGGTTGTGCAGCAATATGTCGGAACTTTCTTATCTTCTGAACTGGACCTGCAATTAGGTTTTTGACAGCCTTGTTTCATACTGGTTCTTCATGAAAGGGTAAACTTATGATTCTCACTTCAGTTTTGTATGTGTGATGGTGAGATATCTTCAAGAATTCAATCATAATATTGGGTTAGAAATTTGGTTGAGTGCATTGCCATAACTCACGCTGAACCAGCCTTGTTTCATACTGGTTCTTCATGAAAGGGTAAACTTATGATTCTCACTTCATTTTTTGTATGTCTGATGGTGAGATATCTTCAAGAATTCAATCATAATATTGGGTTAGAAATTTGGTTGAGTGCATTGGCATAACTCATGCTGAATCATTTGATCATGCAAAGTTTCTGTGCCCAATAAAAGCACAAGAGTGGTCAAAACTCACGAGGTCCTAAGACTTTGAGAGCAAAATTTAGGCGTTCAGCACTGGCAATTGAATTTATATCTCTTGATGTGGTGTGTTGAAGCAGCCTTCGGACAGATTTGGTATGGTTTTTGATGTAGCTAGCAAGGATCACCTAGAGGGGGGTGAATAGGTGATCTAAAACAAGTTTCAATAATTTATGCGGAAACAAAATAAATCGCAGAAGAGTCGGAATAAAATTCAGATTCAAGACAGATTATATAGACTGTGCTCTTGATGTGCAGAATGTAAAGTAAGAGATAAGGGATAGAAAATCTGCACACAAGTTTATAGTGGTTCGGCTTATAACAAGCCTACGTCCACTCTCCCACGCTTACAGCTTACTGGCTGGATTCCACTAATCAAATCAATGAGAAGTTACAGCAAGTTGTGCCGCTTAAACCCAAGCACTTCTCCCCGAATCTGGTGCTGCTTATACCAAGCAGATAGATCACACTATCTCACACCTAAGCACACACTTATAACACTGTCTACACCTCTCAAATGATTACACGTTTAAGCTCACGAAAGACAAGAGATTGAATCGGAGTATGCTCAGACTTTGGACTTGTTGATTCTTGATTTCGTTCTCTACCTTCTGCTCCTCGTTGATCTCCTTTTATACTCCTCCACTTCCAAACTAGCCGTTGGACAGTCTTCAGAGGATCATCTTCCAATATTCACCTTTGGACAGATTTGTATAAAATGGATTGAGTAGCCGTTGGTTGATAAAATCTGAATCCCGCTGATTCTGGTCGCCCATATAATTAGAATCTTGGTTTCCATAAGTAGAGCTTTATCCATTGTAATGTATACTTGTCGTAATGTTTGATTGTCAATCAATTATAGCCTTAGATTGAGACAATCAAAACTTTCCTTCTGTGAAATCCATACCGGATCACTATGTTATGTTTCGTTCGAATCTAACGTCCGAATAATTTTAGCGTCTGCGCCCGAATAATTTCGGCGCTGCGTCTCGAAGAATTTCTGCGTCTGAAGAAATTCTGTGTCTGAACTTTCTCGTTCTGAGTCTGAACTTCTCGTTCTGAGTCTGAACTTCTCGTTCTGAGTCTGAATCTCTTTTGCTTGAAGTTCTTTCACAATCTGAACACGAACTAGATCAAGATTGACATATGCTTTTCTTCCAAAAACAACTTCCTGAATCAAAATATTTCAAAGCATTTATCAGACTTACAAAACACTCATGGACAGTTTTGTCAACTTCAAAATCTATTGGGAATTTTCCTTAACAGTTTTGAATGAAAGTCTCAAGTGTTTGGGAATGAATTTGTGTGTTCAGAACTTGGTCTGCAAGAACAAGTAATTCTATCCACTTTTTTCATATTTTATTTTGGAAGGAAGAGGCTAAATATGGAAAGGAAGCTGATATAGGTGCCCAATTTGCAGGTTCTTGTGAGGAAAGTGATTAAAGTACATAATAAGTACCCAGCACATGTCAAAGATAGTTTCGAGAACCACACTCTCCTTCAAAAGGTATCATGCTACTGCTGCTAGTTCTGCTTCTGGGCATCCCTGTTTATGCTTAATGTCACGTTCTCTGCTCTTCTGTAGAGGGAAGAATAGCATCTCTGCCAATTAAGAGGCTTTGCCACCGCCAAGATGGTCGTGTCTCCTTACCAGCATGTCTGAAATCACAATGAGGGAAGTAGAGTCCTTTAAGTACCTGACTCCACAAAGATGTTGGGTTCTGAGTCATTCTCCAGGCTTGTTTTCCCAACATAGCCTTATTAAAGGTGATGAGGTCTCTAAAGCCCAATCCTCCATTATCCTTTCTAAGTTTTAGCACATTCCAGTTTCTCCAATGCAATCCTGATTTGCTTGCCCCATTTCTCCACCAAAAAGCAGCAATTTTCTGTTCAATAGCATGACAAATGGAGATAGGAACTTTAAAGATGGACATAGCGTACTGTGGGAGAGCTTGAACCACTGCTTTAATGAGGATTTCTTTCCCTGCTTTAGATATCAACTTTTCTTTCCAGCCTTCTAGCTTCATATTGACTTTCGCCATAATCCACGCAAACATTTGCTTGACTCACCCCAGTCAGAAGGAATTCCCAAATACTTGCCAGTTTTCTCTATAATTGGCACTCGCATCTCCGTAACCATATTCTGTCTCAATCTTTGTGGGCAATCTTTACTAGCAAATAATCCAGATTTATTCAAATTAATAGCTTGACCCGAGGCATAGCAGTATTGATTCAAGATTGCAGCTACACTTTGGCACTCATTAATTGTTCCATCCAGGAAGAAGATTGAGTCATCCGCAAAGAGTAAGTGGGTCAAAGTTGGGCATGATCTATTTAATTGTATTCCTTTGATAATCCCATTCTCCAGTGCATTTTTCATCATAAAGGATAATACATTCACCACAATGATAAATAAATATGGAGAAAGTGGGTCACCTTGGCGAAGACCTCTTGAGGGATGAAAATAGGGCAATGGCTCTCCGTTCAACTTTACACTATAAGACACAGTTGTGATGCATTGCATAACCCATCTAACCCATTGAGCACTGAATCCCACTCTTAGCAAGCAAACTTCCATAAAATCCCATTCGACTCTGTCAAATGCCTTTTTCATATCAAGTTTAAGGATAGCCTGGAACTTCTTCTTTCTCTTTCTAATTCTGAGTTGATGTAGCACTTCCTGGACAATTAAAATGTTATCTTGAATCTGTCTGCCACTTACAAATGCACTTTGCTCTTTCGAGATGAAAGTTTGGCATCCATGGTTTCAGTCTATTCGCCAAGACTTTTGAGACGATTTTATAAGCAAAGTTACATAAGCTAATGGGGCGGTATTGTTCCAGCTTCTCTGGGTTAGGGATCTTTGGGATAAGTGATATGTGCGTTCTATTTAGCTCTGGGTTGAGAATCCCACAGTTTAGAAAGCTTTGTACTTCTTTGAACACCCCATGTTTTAGATCTTCCCAGTGATGATGGTAGAATTTCCCATGTAGTCCATCAGGCCCTGGTGCTTTAGTGGCACCTAGTTGATGAGCAGCTTCTGTAACTTCTTTCATTGTCAATTCTGCAGTTAAGACTTGGTTTATCTCCTCTCCCACTAAGTTAGGAACAAACTCCATTATAGGTTCAAAATGTTGAGGGCCCTCAGAGCTGTACAAAGTTCTGAAGAAATCCATTGTCTGCTGTTTTAGTTGACCTAAGTCATGGATCCAAACCCCTTCTAAGTTTCTCAACATTGAGATCTTGTTCCGTTGCCTTCTCTGTATTGTAGTGGCATGGAAGTATTTTGTATTTTTATCCCCCCACGTTAGCTAGCTGATTCTCGATCGCAAACCCCAGTACATCTCCTCTTGTATCCATATCTTCTCTATTTCCTTTTTTAGGTACCGCACTCTCTCTCCATCAATGAGGACTGTTTTGCTGTTAGTAAGTTCCTGAATTTCTTTCTTCATGGTCTTGATTCCCTTTTTTGCATTTGAGAATTTCCTCCTACTCCACTCTTGCAGAGCTTTTGAAACTATTTGTAGATGTCTGGATAGTTCCTCATTTGCTAGTTCAGAGGAATGCCAACTATTTCTAACAATCTGCTCACATTCAGCATCTTCTAGCCAAAACATCTCAAATCTGAATTCTCTTTTCCTTCTCACTAGTTTAGGAAATAAAGACAACAATAAAGGACTATGATCTGAGCCAACTGCTGGGAGTGCAAATGCTTCAGCGTTGGGGAAGCTAACCCTCCAATCCATGGTACATAACACCCTATCAAGTTTCTCCTTAACGAAAGCCTTTCCTTCCCTGTGATTAGACCATGTGAAAGCACAACTTTTACTCTCCATATCCATCAACGAGCAAGCATTTAGGAAGTCTCGAAAAGCATTGAGTCTATAATGCTCGGCCATGCGTATCCCAACCTTCTCCCAATGATAAAGAATCTCATTGAAGTCTCCAATGCAAGCCCAGGGGAGATGTTTCATGAGACTAATGCCATGTAATTTGTCCCATAAGAGAACTCTCTCATTAAACTGCGATGGTGCATGAACGAAGGTAAGTCGCATCTTCTGTTTACTCTCCTCGATCACACACTCTACATCTATAAAAAATTCTGAGTGTGATTCCACTTTTAAAAAAACTTGGTTGTTCCAAAAAATAGCCATACCTCCTGCAATACCCACTGGATTTACTATGAAGCAATTCTGAAACTGTAGCTGTCTTTTTATTTGATGAAGCATTTGTTCCTGATTTTTAGTTTCCACCAGAAACACCAAACTAGGCCTTTCTTGAGCCACGAGGGCTCTAAGTTCTCGAACTGTCAATGGTGTGCCTAACCCCTGACAGTTCCAACTTATAAGTTTCACTTGTAACCCGGAGGCTTATTAGGGCTAGCCTCCAAAGCCCATTCACTTGCTTCTGCTACAACATGAATAGGAGTTTCCATCAAATCTGTATCATCCACGGTATGTTGATTTGCCATCTTGGAATCGTAAGGGCTGTAACGTCGCTGTTTTTTATTGGCCTGAAGCTTTGGTCCCTTACTATTCTTCTTCTGGCTGCCCATTACAGACTGTTCCACAACAGAGATTATGGACTTTTGTACCTGCACAGGAGCTGGAAGTAGAAGTGGTGCCAATGCAGATACATGGTCTTGCTGGTTTAGAGAACTACCTTCCCCTATAAATACACCTTTTCCTTTGCTCTATTTTTGGGTATTATCCTGAGTTTCCAACTTGCTAGTACCCTTGTTAGAAGGCACCGGTAGAGTAGAGCAAACTCGAGTTTCAGGGATAAAATCTTCTGTCATTCTCTCTTCCTCCAATTCCCCGTTAAATATCTTCCAATGTGGACTCCATTCTTTCTCTTCAGCTCTTAGCCAGCTCCCAAAGCGACATTCATCCATCTTTCCCTCATCAAAGGATACTTCTTGACAAAATTTGGCAAAGTGTCCTATCCTTCCACAAGCATAACAGCAGTGGGGAAGCCTCTCATACCTGAAATCTAACCAAAATTTCCTATCTCCATTATCAGTAAGAATTCCAGACTTTAGAGGCTTAGATAAGTTCAGAGTTACTCTCGCTTTCCTTGTATTTTGGGAACCAGGACCTTTAGAGAATACTCGAACCTCCGAGACTTGGCCGCTAAATTTTGCTGCTTCATTCACTGCTTCTTCAGATAGCCATTCATACGGGAACCCATGGATTTGTACCCAGAACGAGTAGAAGTTAAACTCATATTCATGTGTTAGCATATTCGGTTCCCAGGGTTTGAGAATTAAAAGATGATTCGCAAAGGACCACGGACCATTATCAAGCACTCTTTTCTTCTCTATTTCGGATTTGAACATTACAGCAAACATACCAGCATCCAGCTCTTGGAAAGTGACAGAATCGGACCTCCATGACCTTCGCATTGTATTTTGGAAGGCTTGAAAACTGATGCTCGGATTATTAAAGATTTTCCCAAAAATGGTCAGATTACATTCTTTCAATTTTTCTGGGGAAACTACCCCTTTCATAATAGCAATATCTGAATCTGACCATAATGAACCTAGGCTCTTACAAAGGGCAGCCATTCGAGTTTCTTCATCGTTGATTTTCTCCATTGTTACTTTATAGGAGCGTCGCACCATGGACAAATTACCACCAGGAGAGAAGCAGTATCAACAGCGAACACACAACAGTCAACCAGACATCAAAGTGTAAGAACCTTTCCCAAATTCTTACACTAATTTCACTCGGGCATATGATCAAACATGTGGCAAGCGTCTTAGTCGATTAGAAGCAATGACGAAGCAAAGATTCGGATCATACCACCACGAAATCATCATGCCTTCCTGTGATTCAGCGAACACCAAGAACAGGAGAGGAGCAGCATCAACAGCGAACACCAAGAACCAGACCTTGTTTGTGTTGTAGGCAAGTTACAGAGCTATTGCGGAGGGGACCGGTGAGTCATTATGCAAGGCTGAGTTGCGAATTTGCCCAACAGACATGGAGAGAGAACAGTCGCTAGAGGGCCCAAATTTGACCTCCAAAGACTCTTCCTTGCTGGTCATCCATCGGTTAGTGGGCATCAGATCCTTTAGAAGGGAATGTGTGTTTCTAGGTTTCTAGATTTCTTTGTGGGTAATGGGAAGAAGTGGGGGTGTGATGTTAGGGTAAAACAGGTTGGGAAGATTTAGGGTTCTGGGGAGGGGAGGGATTTGGGTTAGTTATCACCAATGGGGTAGGGAAGAACTCTTACCGGAGAAGAGAGAGAAGCCCTAACGAGAGAGCAGGGCATTGCTTGTGGATCCTCAATTACGTCGACGTTAACTTGAATTCACGGGTTTGCTGGGCTGAAGAAGTTAAAGAACAGCAAGCGTGCACTTTGAGCGCTATTGAAGAGAGTTCAAGGGGAACTTTGTGCGTGCTCGGACGTGACTTCTTCGAGTTGCATGAAGAGCTCCGATTGTGCCGCAAGTTTACATTCAATTAAGTTGTTCATTTGAAAACACTATGAGTTTTGGTGTAATCTAGGTGTGGGAAACACTAAAGCGTGTCAACGATTGTAACTCTTTGATTCTCCTATTATTAGTGGATTATTTGCTACTGGCTCTTCCCATGAAGTAGATACCAACACTCGGATCAAATAATGTAAATCTTTAGTATTGTTGACACCTATTTTTAATTGCCTAAAATTAATTACACAAGTTTAGGCAAAAAATTATTTAGTTTCTAATTGCATTGCATATAGACATTAGGCATATTTGCATTAATAGGGCCTATTAGAATATATTTTCTTAATTAATTTTCAAAAAAAATAAAAAATTTTAATTATTAATTAAACAAAATTGGATCTGGCCGGGCCAAGGCCGGCCTGACCCGACCCTCTTTTCCCCCTTGCCGCAAGCCCAGCCCACTCCATTTTCTCTCTTCTTTTTCCTGCGCGGCTGGGCCCGTCCCGGTCCAGCTCCCTTTCTCTTCCACCTCCCCCAGTCGAACCTTCCCCCTCTTTCCTCTGCTCTCCTCTGTTCCGACCGCACCTGGGACAATGCGGATTACCCGCTCCACCGCGCAAAATTGCCACGAAAGTTTTCAGTAGGAGCGGTAGGCCGGTGCAGAGCATTTAATGGAGCAGAGAGTGGCGTCATCGTCGTCGGCTATACAGGCCAGCGAGAGAGAGAGAGAGAAGGGGTCGGCTGGTTCGGTTGGTGAGCAAGAACAGAGAGGCCGTGAGAGACAGACCTAGAGAAATTGAGCGAATTCGAGAGAAGACAGAGTGAAGAGGGAGCCTCAGTCAGCCTCGCCGTTGTGCGTAACCTCCGGCCGCCGAGCCAGGGGCGGTTTTTGAGAGCAAAACAGAGAGAGAGAGAGAGAGAGAGAGAGAGAGAGAGAGAGAGAGAGAGAGAGAGAGAGAGACAAACCGGGAGAGAAAGAGAGAGATCGGGTGAAAATTTTCCGATATTTGGCTTACAGGTGGAAGAACGCGACCGCAGGAGCCCCCCCGGCGAGCCAGAGCCGCCGACGATCCACCGAGCCGACGTCCTCGACCGGTTGATCATTCTCGGCCAAAACAGAGCACCGGAAGAGAGGGAGAGATTGAGCGAGAAATAGAGAGAAAAGGGAGAGTTGGCAGAGCACCGAGGTGACGCCGGAGCAGGAAGGGTAGTCAGCAGCCTCGCCGTCGCCCCCAGATCAGCCGGAGACCCTCCAGCAGCGCCGGTGAGCCTCCCCGGCTCTATCTGCCCCTGTTTTTGTGTGTGATTTGGCTGGGACTCGCGCCAGCCGTTTTGCGCGAATCCCGGCCAATACCGTCTCTGGTCCTGGCCCCCAGTCGCTGTCGGAGGCGAACCGAGGCTGTCGGAGCCGACCGGGTCGCCGGAACAGGTCAAAAATTCCCTTTTTAAGCAGTGCACGCCAGGTGCTCGACGAAATGCCCCAATGAAACAGGTTTGATTTTGGTCGCCGGCCGGCGAGTGCGTGGCCGGATTGCGAGTTGGGTGACTGAAGGAGCTTCGTAGGGGTCCCGAGAGGTGAAAGTCGAGCTGGATTTGGTCTGGGTCGGCCGGCGAAACGCCGGATCTCGCCGGCCGACGGTCTCGCGTGCCTCGGGCACGTGAGCGAGGTTTGGACCGTCTGCCAGGGTCGGACCCGGTTTGCAGAGGTCGACCCGGTTTGGACCGGGTCGACCGGTTGCGGGCCGGGTCGAGCCAGCCTGGGCCGGTTCGACCCGGTCGAACCGGCCCTATTTCGTCTCTTTCCACTCGACCGGGACCCAACCGGGCCCGATCCAGTCCAGACCCGAGTTGACCATTTGACCCAGGTCAGATCCGAAAATCCGACCCGGTCAACGCAATGGGTCGGGTCCGTTGACCCGGGTCGGTTCTGACCGACCCGACCCGGTTTTTAATATTATATTATTTTTTAAAAAAAAATTAATTTTTTTTTCTTCTTGTCCGTATTTACTTCTTTTTTTTTCTTCTCTAAATTATGTGATATATCCGATTGTTTTAATTTATTGTTGTATTATTATGCATGTTGTTATAATTGCATAAATTGTCATGTTTAAATTAGATAAGCCTATAGGGTTATGTAGTAGTATTTTGCATGTTATTTTTACTACTGTTTTGTTATTATTATGCATGTTTTCAATTAAAACATAATTGCATGAGCTGTTGTGTTTTGAATGTCATCTGACTTAGTTAGGATTAGAACCTAAGGCTGCATATCTATTTTGACAGCTGATCGTTTATGATTATGCACTCGCTTGATCACCTCACATGTTAAGAAAAAGGTCCTAAAATCAATCCAAATTGCCTGATAAATGTTTTTAGAAATGAACAGGGTAAAAAGGTACCGAAAGGGCATTAGTTATCCAACTAGTATAACCAAGTCCCCGAACTCAGTTAATCTCTGGTTCGTAGGAATATGGTGATTCTCCCATCACCTTATTTGGGTTTCTAGTCGACCCACCCCAAATCGATTAGTGGCGACTCCTTGAAATAAACCACTTGCATGTTAAATACTTAAACCCTAAGTCGCGATATAGTATGGGCTTAGGAGAGCCCGAGTTAAGTCCCGAACCTAGACTTAGCACGTACCAGGCGAGCCCCCCCTTTTTGCATGTTGCCGATAAAAAAACGAGAGGTCGGTCGCGACAAGTATCCTTTATTATTTCTCGTTTATTTCTTAAATAATTTCATATTGATTTAATTGTAAGATCTTGTGGCCTTCCACGTTAATTTTACAACAAGAATAGAGAAAGGGGGAGAGAGCACTATCATAAAAGAAGAGCTAAATATTCATAAGTGGAAAAATCAAAATAGGAAGTTAGAAAAGAGGCAGCTAGTAAAAGGGAATTGGATTGATTCATATTCCTAGTTAATCCGCAAGGAGTTGATTGGGTTGGTCGAATAATAAAATTATTATGATTGTTTATCTAAAGTTGTTTGATATTGTAAGTTCTATTCTTACTTGACATAACCTTTTGGATCACGGTACAAGGAAGTATTATATTGAGAATCTCATAAATGATAGTTCGGACAAAAATGAAGAACTTGGCAATATATGTGGATTATTTAGTTTGTTTTTCCAAAGTGTATCAATGTAAATAAGCCGCCCACAGAGAACACCATTCTATTGCTCCTGAAAGATCAACAAGCTCACTTAAGGGTTCGTTCGTTTCAGTGAAAATGAATGATATGAAAAATATTTTCCTAAAAATGATCGCTTGTATCTCTTGAAATAATTAGTTAATGAAAAATATTTTATTATCAATAACAATTTATGATTAAATATTTTCGTGAACGGTGAAAATATTTTTCATTCATTCATTTTTTGTAAGCAATACAAGCGATCAATTTCTAGAAAATATTTTCCAAATCATTTATTTTTTGTGAAACAAACGAAGCCTAAATTCTTAAATTCCGGTATTATGAAATATCCCACCAATTCAATCGAAAAAATCCCGCTCAAATGAAAACAAAGTGACCACGTGACACCCTCATCCTTAGAAAGGGTTGATTTTGCGTGCGAATTTCACCCTCTTTGCTCAAATCCGTGTTCTTATTGATATTGTTAGTGTGCAAATCCATTGACCAAAATATCAAAAACATAGCACCATTAGTCGAAGCATGTTACCTACGTCTTATTGGCGTGTAGTTGTTGTTCTTGCGGGTTTTAGTGTTTTTGGTGCTTGTGCACTGGCGAGATTCTTAGCTGTGAATTTGCTCTTCCTGCAGAGAAATCAGAGAGTTAGGGTGTGGATCTTGTAGGATGGACGATTTAGCGGAATTGGTACTTTAAAAGCAAAGAAAGTTAGCATAGTGAAAATGTGTACTTTAAAAAACATATTGGTACTTTTATACCTTTCTTTTCTTTTTTTTGTTCGAGTACTTTTATACCTTTCTGTTTCCAATAATTATGGCTAAAAAATCCATGGTTAAGCACATGATTTCCCGGATTGCAAGGAGCTTTTTTTGCCATTACTTTGGAAACAGAAAGTTATAGAAGTACCAATCTGATTTGATAGTTCACTTGTTTACATACTTACTTTCTTGTTTCAAAAGTACCAATTGCGCACGATCATCTATGTTATATTTAATGAGAAAAAGTACCTAATTGCTTGGGTTTAGGGAGCAATGGCCTACTTAATGACAAGTTTAGGTGAAAATAAATTAGTAATAAGAAATTGAAAATCCGTAGTTAAGCACATGATTACCTAGATTGCAAGGAGCTTTTACAGCCGAATTTTTAGGAAATAGAATGTTATAAAAGTGCCACTTGGTTTTAAATATTCACATGTTCACTGTGCTTGCTTTCTTTGTTTTAAAAGTACCAATTGCGCACGATCATCTATGTTATACTCAATGAGAAAAACTTCCTAATTTCTTGGGAGCAAGATCCACAGCCTACATAATGACAAACTTAGGTTAAAAAGAAAAGATATAAGCTCAAGCATTTGTCCTTAGAAATAAAAAATTGAAAGCGCATGACTAAGCACATGATTTTCCAGATTGCAAGGAGACTTTTTAGCCATTTTTATATTTTCACTAAACTTACTTCCTTTGTTTTAAAAGGGGTTAATACCACGAAAAATTTCAAACTTGTATACATGTGACAAATTTACTCCAAACTAATTTTTTGATCACTAAAAATCCTAAACTGGTGCGCCTGTGATAAGTTTTCCATAAACTAATTTTTTGATCACCAAAAACCCCAAACTGGTACATTTGTGACAAATTTACCCTCCACTAAATTGAATTAATACGAAAAAAATCACAAATTAATACACATGC